TATGGTTGACACACAATGCTATATTTTTTCAGGTGTACAACATGGTAATTAGATATTCATATATGAGTATTTTATGAAGTAATCAACCTAAGGCTAGTAGTTATCTAGCACCATATATAGTTAGTACAATACTAAACCAAGCTTGTACCTCAGGAAAAATTCCCACTGGTGTATGATCTTTTTAATGTATTGTTATATTCGGTTTGTAAAACCAAGTTGGCTGTAATTTTGGGGGTAGTCTTTTTGTGTGGTTTTAGTATCAGGGTAATACTGGCCTTATGAATTGAGTTTTAGAAATTTCCTTCCTGTTCAACTTTTTGGGATAGTTTGAGAAGGATAGACATTAATTTTCCCTTGAACGCTTGGTGAAATTCATCTGTGAAGCCATCAGGTCCAGGACTTTTGTTTGTTTACTGATTCTTTTTTGTTACTAGTTATTAGTGTGTTCAGATTTTTTGTTTCTTGCTCATTCAGTCTTGGATGAGCATGTGTTTCTTGGAATTTATCCATTTCTTCAAGATTGTTCAATTTGTTAGTATATTATTGTTCATAGTATTTTTATAATCCTTTGTATTTCTGTGGTGTTCATTATCATTTCTTCTCTTTCATTTCTGATTGTATTTATTTGGACCCTTTTTTTTTCTTCATGAGTTGGCAAAAGGTTTATTAATTTTGTAACTATTTTGAAGAACCAGTTCTTGGTTTAATTCGTATTTTCCATTTTTAAAAAAATTTCTATTTCATTTACTTCTACTCTTCCTTCTATGCACTTTGGTATTTGTTTATTGTTATTATTGTTGTTATTATTTCTTTCTGGTTCCATTAGCTCTAAGTTTAGATTGTTTATTTGAGGTTTTTCTTATTTCTTGAGGTTGGCCTGTATTAATACAAATTTCCCTCTTGGGATCATTGTGCTTTAATTTTCATTTGTCTCAAGGCATCTTTGATTTCTGCTTTCATCTCATTGGTAACCAATGCACTGTTTAGTAGCATGTTACTTAGTGTCAGTGTGTTTGTTGTTTAGTTTTTTCCTGTATTGAGTTATAACTTCATACTATTGTGACTGAAAAAGATGTTTGATATGATTTCAGTCTTCTTAAATTTATTGAGACTTGTTTTGTGGCTTAACATGTGGTCTATCCTGGAAAATATTCAATATGTACTTGAAAAGAAGGTATATTCTGCTACTTTTGGGTGACATGTTCTAAAAATACATACTAAGTTCATCTGCTCTAATGTGTTGTTTAAGGTCACAGTTTGCTTGTTGATTTCTGTCTGAATGGTCTATTCATTGATATCAATGGAGTATCAAAGTCTCCTACTATTACCGTGTTACTCTGGACCTCTTCCTTTGTGTCTGTTAATATTTGCTTTATAGATTTAGGTTCTCTGATGTTGATTGTATAGATGTTTATGACAGTTATGTGGCTTGTTGGATTGATTCCTTTATAGTTACAAAATGTCCTTCTTTGTCTCTGGTTATAGCATTTGTTTCCAAGTCTTAATGAAGCATCTGTGGACAAGTACTCACAACTTACTCTTTTGTCCTCCCTTAGGATTGTTTCAACTATTTATCATGAGATTTAAATGGCTGTGGTGATTGGAGTAGCTGAACTGATGAGATATTGCAAAACTACTATTATGTTGAGTTAATATGGGACTATGTATGTTAGCCTTACTGTTGTGAGTTGAGTATGGGATGTCACTTTGTCTAATCCCATGAAACCAATATTGGTCATTAAATAAATAAAATTTTTGTGTATGAGTAAAAATAATTATTTTAAGTTGATGATCACTTCAGTTTGAACACCTTCCAAAATCGCTACAATCTATACTCACCTCTCATGTTTGTTTTTAGTCATTTTTGTTTTGTTTGGTGTATTTGTGTATAGCCTCTAATTTATTGTTGTAATTACACACACCCTTCTTACTTTTGTCCTTTAATCTTTGTACTGGCTTTATAATTGGTCAATACACTGGTTTTACAAAATTTTTACTTTTGCCAGTGAGATTTTTTTCTTTGCTATATTTTCTTATTTATATTTTTTTATCTTTTCTTTGCCACTTAAAGCCTGTGACATTTCTTGTAATAGTGGTTTACTGGTGATGAATTCCTTTTAGCTTTTGTTTGAGACAGTCTTTATCTCTCAGGTCTAACTAATAGCCTTGCTGGGTAGAGTAATCTTGGTTGTAAGTCTTCGCTTTTTGTCACTTTGAATATCTTATGCTAATCCGTTCTGGTCTGCAAAGTTCCTGTTAAGAAATCAGCTGACACCATTGTGAGAGCTCCCTCCTACATAATTACTTTTCTCTTGCTCATTTTAAGATTCTTTCTTGTTTATAACCTGTGGCATTTTAATTATGATGTGTCCTGGTGTGAACTTCTTTGTGTTCAGCTTGTTTGAAATTTTTACGTACTTCCTGGTCTTGTATAGCTATTTCTTTTGCCAGGTTAGGGAGGTTTACAAGTCATTATTTCTTCAGAAAAGTTTTTAATTCCTTGCTGTTTCTCAGTATTAATAGAATGACCTTATGTAGAAGGTGTCCTGTAGAGCTCAGTGGCACAGTCTCCCTGGTCACCTGAGCTGGGTGCTCCAGGGGTGTCACCTGTGTGTGCCCTCCTTTTGTACTTGGGCCTCAATTGTTGTCTGTATGTCAGTGGGTGGGGCCAACTCTCAGGCAAGGTGACTGTTAGGACTGTCCGTGACTACCGTAGATGAGCTGTTGTGCAAGGGCTGACTCCATGGAGTGGGAGTCACTTTAGCAGGGCCTCTGGTTCCAGCCCAGTCTGCTCTTTTGGTGTGTCTATTGTGAAGTTCATTGGGTGGGACTCTGATGCAGTCTGAAGTCTACTCCTGCATTTGTTGGGTCTGGAACCTCTCGGGAAGAGCTCTGGTGTAGAACAAGTCTAGCCATTGCTTGTCAGGGCTTGAGACTGTTTGGTAAGAAACACAAAGTGACGTGTGTCTGGTTGCCACTTGTGCTGGACTTGGAGGCTCTTGGAAAAAGTTATACTGCAAACAGAAGCTGGCTGTGACTTGTGCTGGACTTGAGATCTTTTGGTGGATGCAGTGATGCAATCTGAGGCCTGTGGTCATTTATGCTACGCTTGCAGTTGCTTAGTTGGAGCTGTGTTACAGGCCAAGACTGGATCCATTTATGCAGGTTTGGGGCCACCTGATAGGAGTTATAATACAAATTGAGACTGATCGTCACTTCTGCTAAGCTTGTGACCACTTGGCAGGAGTTAAAATTTAAGCAAAGCCTTTTGCTGCTTGTGTGGGATTTTTGGACCTTTGAGAGTCTGTAGCATGAGCCTAAAGCAACTACTTCCATGGAATTTGTGCACTTTTAAAATAAGAGTCTTCAGCAGAAGCCTAGGGGATTCCCCACTCTTGTGGAGTTGGCAGTCCTTCGAGTGTGTCTGCAGCATGAGCGAAGATAGGCCATTCCTATCGAGGAACTTCTGGAAGAGGCTCAGGCCAGGCAAGGGAATTTGATTGGGTGGGGTCTCAGGGAGTCACAAGGGTAGGGTTGAATTATGTTTGCCAGGTTAATGGAGAGAATGGTTTTGGGCATTCTTCTATACTGGCCACCTGCTCATTGTTCAACAAAGGAACAATGGTACCTGCTAGTGATTCTGTTCCTGGAGAGAATACCCCAATCCCTGCACCTCCAGCTGTAACCCAGAAGTTAGTCAGTTTAGCTCCTTTCCATATATTCCTGCACTTTTTGAGTGGCTGCCTCTGTGCTGGAACTTAGAGTAAATGAGTTATTGCACTGGCCCTTTAAGAGCAGCACGTCTTAGGCCCCTGCAGACCTTTGTCTCTCTGGTATGCAATCGCCATTGGTTTTTAGAGCCAGATGGCATGGTGACTCCTCTTCCAAGCTCTGAACTTGGGAGCCCAGACTAGGGCTTTGACTGAGATATCACTCCTGTGTCTTACTCACCACATGTGGGCGTGGGACCTGCCCTTTCTGCCTCCCCACCCTGCCTGCCTGTCTCGATATGACTTCTTCATATCATTAGTTATAGGAATTCTGTTCTGATAGTCTTCAGGTGTTCTCAGTAATGGTTGTCCTATAATTTAGCAGTAATTTTGATGTGATCATGGGAGGAGGCAATCTCAGAGTTTACCTACTCTCCTACTCTGACATCCTGACTGAAAGTTTAAAAAAAAAGAAGTTATGCCTAAAAAAAATAAGAATTTTTACAAAGCTATAGTATTTAGTGTTTTCTCCCCTGATGATTTTTGACAAAAACAGTATAATATTTCTCTCTCTTGCCTACTCTACTGAACTCATTTTGTGCACTAACTCAATTGATGCTGAGGCATCCAATTTGCTAGAGCGAATCTGGCAATAGGTTGAAGCCAGGTTGCTGCTATTTCTGTCATTATCTCAGCTTGAAGATCTCACTGTGGTTGATGCTCCCAATCTTTCAAATCCCTCTTTGATACAGCTCAGTAGTGCCTAAAGTCCTGCCTTATGTTTTAGTTTTTTTTTAATTGAGACATAATTGACATATAACATTATATTCATGTCAGGTGTACAACATAATTGTCCCCACAATAATGTAGATATTGTGGGATGATCACCACAATGTCTAGTTAACTCCCATTACTTCACATAGTCAACTCTTTTCATGTGATGAGAACTTTTAAGATTTACTATCTTAGGAACTTCAAATGTACAATACAGTATCATTAATTATAGTCACCATGCTGTACATTTTATCCTCAGAATTTGTGTATCTTATAACTGGGAGTTTGTATCTCTTTCTCTTTCTCACACACAGTCTTAAAAACTTCACCATTAAAATTAGACATTTTTTTCATGCCACTGAAAGACATTATTCATGCTGTGAAAATAATTACAATATAACATTAGTTTATGTAGATTTGTTTATCTCAATATTGCTTAAACTAATAAAATAAAATATCCTCTTCCTGGTATTTTGAAAGTCTTTGCCTTACAAAATATTATCATGTGTTTTCCAGGTGCAGAATGATCTTGAAATAAAACATAAAATCAAGGTACAAGCTTTACTTTATCCTCACTTACAGATAATTGATTCATATTTGCCATCTCTCAGAGAAAGTGAAAACAGTATAGTTGTGACACGGGAATTAGCCATAAAACTATTGGGTTTATATCTCAGTGAGGATAAAACATTGCCCGAGGCAATGAAAAGAAACCAATATATGCCTCTGGAATCAGGACATTTGTTCAAGTTTGTTAACTGGAGCATTCTCTTACCCAAGAAATACAAGAAGGACCATGTTTATACAGAACCAATTTTTGGAAGAACTAATTATTCGATGCCAGCACTTATGGATGTCAGAGTATCACCATTGTTGGCCAGTGATTCCCAGCTACAGAATTTGCCATTAACCTACATTCTGACCTGTCAATATGATATTTTGAGAGATGAAGGACTTATGTATGTGTCAAGACTTCAAAATGTTGGAGTTCAAGTTGCTCATGAACATATTGAGGATGGATTCCATGGAGCCTTATCATTTATGACACGACCTCTGTATTTACATCTAGGTCTCAGGATAAGAGATATGTATATTAGTTGGCTGGATAGTAATTTATAAGATATATACAACCATCACTTAGTTGGTTGTAATTAGTGATATTTTGTAGTTGTAGTGCAAAGAACAATGTCATTTTTGTTGTCTAAATCTATATTTGAATCAGTTGTTATAATACTGCTTATCCTTGAACTAGTAAATTTTTTGACTCAAAAAAACCTGCATATGTCAAATGTTTATAATCCTGTCTATTTTGCATTACTTATAGTTATTATAAATATGTTTGTCTGAATAGAGACGAATGTTTACTGGAAAGTTACAGAAGACAATTCTAGGCAAGCACAGAAATTGTAGTAATAAATGGGAAGAGAAAAATAAGGGAAAAAATGCAAAGTAATTGTATTAGTTTCCCATGGCTGTTACTACAAACTTTGTGGCTTAAAACGACAAAAATATATTCTCTTAGATGTACTGGGTCTGACGTCCAATATTAGTATCACTGGGCCAAAATTAAGGCACTGGCAAGAGACATGCTCACTCTGAAGGTTCTACATGCTGCACCCTTTGCACTGTCATTCAAAAATACCCCCTTTTTAATCCCCATATAAGGTAACATTCAAAGGGATCAGGCTTTAGGTATTTTGAGGAGGCTTTTTTTAAACATTTCAGTCAAATTTTATTTTTTAAAAAGCAACACATCAATGTTATAATTCAACTTATCTAAATATGCATTTGGCAATGTGGTACATAGTGAAAAAAATTCTGCAAACACCCTCAAACATATCATCTCAAAATACCCAGTAAGTAAATCACGTCTGCAAGCCTTTTGTTAACTGGACTCATATAACTAAAATTGAATATTTATTGGTGTGAAAAATATGTGTAACACAGTAGTATGAATCTTGGGTATTGAGCATAATTGATTGAAACAAGCTAAGAAGTTAAAAATAAAAAGGTGGAAAAAGCGAGTGTGTGGGGGAGTGTGTATACCTATGGGAGGGGGAGGGGCGGGTGAAAATGTACAAGCCAATCGACCTAAAAGCCATGGAGATACATAACTTGTTCAGCTGAGACCAGACATTATGTCATTACTACCTTTTTCAAAAGGCAATTACAAATGACAATTTCAATAGTCCATAAACCATGTACATTTTAATGTAGAAAGAAATTATGTGCAAAAAGCTGTTTTTCTTCAGCTCAATTTCAGCACCCAAAAGATGAAAGACGCATTCATGATCATAGCAAATAAAAATAAAATGAATGGCATTGGAATCAGTTGTTCTTCCCCATTGAGATTTATAAAATCTATAAAGAAATTTGATATTAGAACAATCAAGTCATAGTTCTGATTTAATTTCCTTTAAACTCTTTTAGAATATTTTTTAAATTATTTTTTTTCATGATACTGAATCTAATTCCAGTCTTTTTCATCATTTAGTATACTGGCTACCAGTTCTAATCAGGGAAAAATAAAAAGTTCTTGGAAATGTCTTTGTTATGACAGCATGTTCAGCAGGAGTAACTGATGTGCAAGCAAACCACAAAGGTGCAGCTCCCCCAAAAGCACATTTTGTTGATTGTCCTACTGTCAACATTTTCCATAGTGATCTTGACAGAAGACTGTCGATCTTGTGAGCATTAGTGCACAGCCTCATTAGCATGCATTTTCACACCTTGGAGAGGAAGACTAGCTCACAGCTAGAGAAAACTTCTAAGACTTGAAGTCTTAACTTCCGAAAAACCTTACATCCTGCAAAGCAAGAAAACACTTTTCCTTTTTTTGGGGGGGGTGGGGGGAGAGGGGGCATCTTAAAAATATGTCAGAAATGTATGCTAAAGTAGCCCACTTAATCCTCACTTATTTTTTTTGCAAATTTGTTCCCAAAGTATTTCTGGAAGAGAGACATTTTCAAGGAGCCACCACTGGGCAGGCTTTCAGTGCAGCTGCTAACAGAACGAAGGCAGCTGGCTATCCTGTTCCGTGGCTTTGTCCAGGCACTGGTTACTGTTCACACACCATAGGGTTCATTTTACAGGGCTGTACCCCGGAAGGTGGTTGTCTTTTATGTTGTGGATTTGAGCATTGTGATAGAGGCATTAAGTTTGGAAATATCCAAATAAAAGTAATCTGTTCTAATTTCTTTATTGTCAGCATATGGGATGATCCGATTACATCCCACAGCTATACAGCTAAAAGTTCCAAACTTTCTGTCCTGTTTTATGGCTATACTATTCAGACATTGATTTATTTCCACATGTTGCATCTCTCCCAAAGATAGATAGTGATGCAGCATTTGAGAATCAGGATAAATATTATTTAGGTATCAAGAGGAAGATTTGCATTGTAGTTTGTGTCTTAGACCACATCTTGTTGATATATCTCCATAATCTACCCCTGTAACACCTTGGGAAATTATACAGAAGAAACTCTAGACTTCATCTATCCAAATTTATTCAAGACATCTGAATTTATTCTGTCTTGTACCTCAGAAACATAGGAAGCACAGATTTCCAAAATGTAAATAAGTAGCAAAATGTAAATAAGTAGCAACTTACAAAGTATGACTGCAGTGCCCAACATATAGAAAATTTCTGTGTTTACTCCTCCTCAAACACCCATTGTGGCATTGCATCAGTTGCTAAGATTGCCATAACAAAGTACCACAAACCAAGTGGCTTTATACAGCATGAATTTGTTGTCTTACAGCTACGAAGGGTAGAAGTGTGAAATCAAGGTGTTCATGGGGCATTTAGGGGAAAATTGAGTGTAGCTATACTTCCATCAGACGAAGAAGATTACAAAATAAAAAATGTAACAAATGACAAAGATGGGCATTCTATCATGATAAAGGGGCAATGCATTTAAAAGGCATAAAACTTATAGTATATATGCACCCAATCAGGGGGCATCAAAATATATAAAGCAACTACTAACAAAACTAAAGAGAGAAACTGGGAAAAAAAGCAGTCATAGCAGGGGACCTAACTAACCCATTGACAGACTGATATGGGTAGAGAATCCAAACAGAAAATCAATAAGAAAATATTGGTCTTAAATGACATATTAAAACAAATGGGCATAATTGATATTTACAGAGCCTTTCATCCTGAACACCAAATTACACATTATTCTCTAATGTATGTGGAACATTCTCAAGGATAGGTCATATGTTGCAACACAAAACTAGACAAATTTTAAAAGACTGAAATCATACCAATCATATGCTCCAACCACAATGCTTTAAAATAGAAAATCAACAGCAAAAAGAAAGTGGGTAAAGCTACAAATATCTGGAGATTAAACCACATGCTGCTCAACAACAACTGAGTCAAAGAAAAAATCAAAGGAGAGATCAAAAGATGCATAGAGACAAGTGAGAATGCCAACACAATGTATCAAAACTTTTGGGGTGCAGCAAAAGCAGTAATAATAAAGTTTATATCATTGTAGGCCTACCTCAAAAAACAAGAAAAATTCCAAATAAAAAACCTAACATTTCACCTTAAAGAACTAGAAAAAGAACAAAGCCAATAGAGAAGAAGTCAAGCAATAAAAAGCTGGTACTTTGAAAAGATAATAATATTGACAAACCTCTGGTTAGCCTCACTAAGGGAAAAAGGTAAAAGACTTAAACAAGATCAAAAATAAAAGAGAAGTTAAAGTGAACACCACAGAAATACAAAGAAACATACAAGGATAATATAAAACCAATGTAACACAAAATTCAATAACCTAGAAGAAATGGGCAAGTTCTTAGAAATATATAATCTTAGACTGAATTACAAAGAACTGGAAAATCTAAATAGACTGATGAATAGTAAGGAAATTAAAACAATCATCAAAACCTCCCAAAAGTGTAAGTCCAGGACAAGATGGCTTCACTAGTGAATTCTACCAAACATTCAAAAATATTTAACACCTATTCTTCCAAAGTTTTCAAAAAATTTGAAGAAGGAGCAATGCTTCCTAACTCATTTTATGAGGTCAAAATTACCCTGATATCAAAACCTGGCAAAGATAATACAAAAAAAGAAAACTACAGATACACATCTCCGTTAAATATAGATGCAAAAATCCTAAAAAATATATTGGCAAATCAAATACAAAAATACTTTTAAAAAAACATAATACATCACAATCAGTAGGGGTAATTTCAGGGGCACAGGGATAGTTCAACATATGCAAACTGATTAAAGCAATACTCCACATAAAATCATATGATATCAATAGATGCATAAACATGCATTTGACAAGATACTACATTAATTTATGATTAAGACACTCAGTAACATGGATATAAAAGAAGAGTAACTCAACGTACAAGGGGCACCCCCCCAAAGCAGATTTTTCTTTTGGAGGGTGGGCCCCTTATAGTACAGGCTTCCTCCCACTGGGTGAGTGACCTAGGAACCTACCTGTATCAGGGTACCAGATGGCATTGTTGTGAGAGGCTGTGTTCAACTTCAGTGAATTTCTTTGGACTCTTTCAACACATTTGCCCATTTCACGGTGGGTGATTTACGAGCACACCTGCCTACACCATACTGAGTGTTCGGCAGTTTTTGACCAACAGCGGCATGACTCCCATGCCCTACTCCCTATTCACCTGGTCTTGCCACAGCAACTTTTTTTTGTTTGTTTCCATGGATGGAAAAGTCGTCAAAGGGAAACATTTTACTGATGTGGAAGAGGTAAAACAAAATTGAAGGTGTTCTTCAAGTGGGCGTCAGTGGAGTGGGGGAGAGTGGTAGTGGGGGAATGGAGACCACTGCACTTGAACAACAATAAAAAAAGAGAAATTTGAAAAAAGCACAGTAAAATTCATTGCTGGCCATATGTACATGGAAAATAATAGATGAAAATTTGTTAACCCGGTAAAGCCTAAATTAGCAAACACAACAGAAAAGATTATTACAAATAATGAATGACTAAAACATTTTGAATTGAAATTGTAAATAGGAAAGGAAGTGATACCTATTGTCATTAATAGTGTTTATTCCTTGATTAAAATAACTCATGAGTCGATACTGGTATCTCTAATTCAAAGACAGGACCATAGGGTGTTTATCAACATTTCTATCTTACATCTTTATCTTCTTTTCTTGACACTGAACCTTCTGATTCTTGTATATACTGGAGATGAAAGAATTATGTCATGTGATTGTTCACCTGCTTTATCCCACATTACACAGAAATCATTTTCAGGATAATATACTACCAGTAATGTAGTTATTGAAAATGTTTGACATTTTTCTATGTACTTGTCCTATTTGCTTCCCATTTTAAAAAATAACCCTAACCCTAACCCCAACCTAGCCTCTCAGTTATCTCCACAACTGCTGTCTGCCTGCTTTCTAAGAGTCTGACTCTATTTATTTTGCTTATTAGTTCATTTTGTTCATTAAATTCCACATATAAGTGAAATCATATGGTACCTATTTTCTCTGACTGGCTTATGTCCTTTAGCATAATATTCTCCAGGTCCATCTATACAGTCACAAAGGATAAGGTTTCCCTTTTTTTACAGCTAAGTAGTATTCCATTGTGTAAATTAACTATAGCTCTTTTATCCACTCATCCACTGATGAGCACTTGGGCTGCTTTCAAATCTCTGCTAGCATAAATAATGCTGCAATGAACATAGGGGTGCGTATGTTCTTTTGATTTAGTGTTTCAGGTTTCTTTGGATAAATTCCCAGAAGTAGAATCACTGGTCATAAGACAGTTTTATATTTAATTTTTGAAATAACTCTAAATGGCCGTACCAATCTGCATTCCCAACAGTGCACGGGCATTCCTTTTCTCCACATCCTCACCAACACTCACTGTGTTGATTTATTGATGTTAGGCATTCTGAGAGACGTGAGGTGATATCTCATTGTGGTTTTAATTTGCATTTCTCTGATTATTAGTGACATTGAGCATCTTTTCATATGTCTGTTGGCCATCTATATGTCCTCTTTGGAGAAGTGTCTATTCAAGTC